GACGGCGCGGCCGACCAATGGCAAGCGCCGCAGCCGCGCGAACCGAGAGGCCGCCCCCGCCTAGGCTCCGCCCACCAGCTAGGCTCCTCCCTTCTGCTGCTTCTGCTTGCTCGCACGCAGGCGGAAGCAACACCCGGATCCGGGATCCCGGCCCGGGTCAGGATGAAAGGGTGCAAGCTGGGAGCTCCCCGCCCTTCTTCCCCCAGCCCGGGCGCTCTCGGCTGCTTTGGGCTTGGCGAGCCTCGCGGAAAGAGGGGGAAGGGAAGCAGGGCGGCTCCGCAGCTGCCGCCGTAGAGACGCTTGCAGGCTCTTAGGGCCGTGCTGTCTGTTCACTCCCCCTTGTACCTATCAGCCGTCGTGGGAAGTAGGAAGTTTCCCCGCCTCCACCTTCTACTCGGGTCGTTACTTCTCTGAAAGATGGGCAGAGTGTGGGCACCCTGAGACTGGAGGAGCCACGTTGAATGGCTTTGACCATATCATTTTTGGACTCTGTGTCCGAGAATCGGTCCCAGGCCCCCTGTTCTTAGGGGGAAACTGCACTTCTTTGCCCCCCACCCATACACACACCCCATGCACGCACAGCACGCCCTCTTCCCGTTCAGATTTCGTTCCTGCTCTTTCCTTCCCGACATAAGAACCCGATGCGTAGCGTATCGTTGAATGTACTTCCAACCTCCATAAAGACAGTGGGGCGCCGAGAGTCCCTAAGGCTCCAGAAGGAGTCGGTGGAATTAGCTGGGCAAAGGGGCGGAGGCCTGGAAGGAGGCCTCGAGAGTAAACCCAGAGGAGGAGAAAGCAGAGAGAAAAGAGGGAGGGAAAGGACGCAGAGGGACGGACAACTCCGGGAGACCGGAGCTCCGGCGCGCGATCCAGATCCCGGGTTTTTCCTCTGCTCGGTCCCAGGGCTTCTGGGGTCCCTTTCCCCCCCAGGTCTCTCCCAAGCCGGGTCTCCGCCTCGCCTTCGCGCGCCACTCCCTTAGCCCTTGGACACTGTTGAGCCCACCCTCGTTCTTGGAAGGGGCAGGGCGAGGATGCAAAAGCAGAGATAAAGTGCAGTGGAGGAGTTGGGGAAGGGATGCCTAAGAAAAGGACGCTGCGCTCGGGCTGCGGCGCTGACTCCACTCCCCAGAGGTCAGGTTTAGAGCCCAAGGGTGTCCGAGATTCGGCTCCTTGTTCCACTCTGGACTTGACTCCTGCCTAGGCAGCCTGACTCTTGGCCTTTAGCTGGACTCGGCCGGGACCGTCCCCGCACCCCCTCCCTTCCCTCCAGATCCTTAAGCAACGACCCCCACACCCTTCCACCCACCAGCAGCTGTTCCCCAGCTCTGGAGTGCTGTTTACCTAATCTCGGTAGCTGACCGAGCCGAGGAGAATGCGAAAGAAGGTAGCGGTTGCACAGCAGCGTCCCCGGCGAAGAAGTAAAAGACGTTTGATTTGGAGCTTTAGGATAAGTTAACTGCAAAGCTGGGGTCCTGCTGTCATCTCTGCGTGAATGAATCTCACCCTGCACGTCTGCAGGGATAGGAGATCGTATCTGGTTTTGGTGCCATTACCATGTCTGAGAAGAACATTATATGATAAAATATTATCTAATATCCTAGAGACCATTAGAGTGTCAAAGTTTAATGCCAAGCCTTTTAGCTGGACTGCTGCTCCATTCTTCCTCTGACGTACAGCCTTGCTCTAGAAGGCGCTGAAAACAAGGAGATCATTTTTATTTTTTGCGGGCGGACTGTCCTTCCTACTCTTCCTCCTCCCCTACTCTAACCCCCTCCCCAGAACCGGTTAAAGTTAAAGCAAGAATTTGGGCTTTCTTTTTATTCATTGCTTTGCCTCACTTCATTGATGGTGTAAAATGCATTATTGCAATACATTAGCATCTTAATAAGGGTAAGGTGACTGTGGAAGGGAAGGGACACCTGAAATGTACAAGCAAAGAGAAATAATGGAATAACATCAGAAACTAAAAGATAAGCAGGTGGAAGAGAAATGTCTCCATTATAATTACCCGAGTTTGTGCATTCTCTAGATTGGATTTTAGAAAGAAAAATATGACCATGATGGAGGAGGGAGCAATATTCATCTGGTCAGTAAAGTGCCTTGAAGACATTTATTTCATTATTAAGGGACTTCACAAAAATTACTTGCATCAGTTAATAATCACCTTAAATGGGTAAAAGCTTTGCCCTATCAATTCAGTGTTGCAGTATCATAAAGTCAGTGGCATATCTAATGTGCTCAATAATGGGAATGTTGTCAGACTGAAATATTACACAAACTGCACCCTTCTGTTAGTTTTTATGTCAAGCCCACCCAAATCCCACATTTAAAGAGTTCCTTTGTCCCACCAATGGGATGGAGATATATATATATATATATCCGTGTGTGTGTGTGTGTGTGTGTGTGTGTGTGTGTATCTCCTAAGGCAGGTTGTACTCGTCTATGAATTAGAGGCCTTTGACACAAACCAAGATATAAACATCTTAAAAGGATTTCAGCTATGCCATAATATAGCATGAGGAATGCAGAATAAAGTATATAAGGTGATATATCTGTTATTTCTAAAGAACCTAAACTGCTTCTGCTAAGAACTGAGAAGTGAAAAAATATTGAGCCCTCTAAACCAACTGTTATCTATAGCCACACAATTATTGTTCCTGTCACAGGAGAGATTCAGGAAGATCTCTAATCAGGGTCAAGGAGACCTAATCCTAAGAAACCTGTCTTAAAAGAACCACTAGGGGGCCCTAAAGGCATCTCAAAGAGGGAGCCGGAAAACGCTCTCACCTCCGCTTTTCTCAGCTCATTTTCTATATCCCTAATGGAACTGGAATCTAAAGTTAAGAGCTTGGAATCTAAAGTTAAAAGTCCGGAGGCAAGTCAGACTTTACATTTTAAAAAATACTGGAGTCCCATTTTGACAGATGAGTGAAGAACTTATTTTCCCAACTCTCGCTTCCAAAAAAATACAATAGAAAAAGAATATTGCACTCATTGAGATGAAGATGGCCTGCTACTCTTACCATCTTAAAGTCAACTATTGTTACTATTACAGATAGAACCTCTTTCTAAGACTTTAAGGCTGTTTCCTGAATGTTTTGAACACTCTTCAAGTGCTAGATAGCAAGATGAATCCTTACAGGGGTGATATGAAAATTATTTAATAACCTATATAGCATGGCACCTACCATCCACTTTGTGGGAATTCAAGTCATCCATAAGGGCGCTAACACATCTGGTGGGCCAGGTATTAATTTTTTAGTGCTGAGTTCTGGTGAAATGGTGATTTGAAGTGGTTCCTGGGGAACGGCAGTGACGGCTGAGGTGGTGAGGAAGGTATAGCTGAAGTGGTGGGGGGAGGGGAGCTCACTGCAAGGGAACACTTCACCAGCCAGTGTGAAGGATTTCCATATTTGAACAAGTAATGTTATATTTGTCAAAACACCTGAATATCAGGCTTGAGCATACATAAAACTTCCCAACATTGTTTGTGGACTTTAATATCTAGCAATCAAGTTTTCAAGGTTCCCAAATCCTTAGCAGTCACACATCTTTCCCACATCTTACGAGTAAATGAGGTTAAGACATCCTTTATGAGGCTCAAGAGTCAAAAACATCACTCAGGTTATACACATATAGAGAAGCCTAATTATCCTTCAACCAAGGCTAGAGAAATATCTCCCAAAGATGTCCTATCTAGACACATTTTGAGTGAAATTTCAATTGCCAGGCATGAAACATTCTTCTGTCATCAGGCCAAATTAAAAGCC